AACTTATAGATGCTTTTGATTTCAATCTATTGAAAACTACATCAGAATTTTGATATTTATATTTTTCGATTGTGAGAAAAAAAAAGTAATAAAATTTATAAATAGTCACTGGAATATAAAATATAAATAAATCACATCAAGACAAAATTTGAATCTAAGAATGTATCATTCCTCTGAAAAATGAAGGAATCATCATCATAATTTAAAAGCCAAGTTGGCAATAAATTTTCGAGTTTTGAAGATTATTCATCAATATAAATATCTTCCTATATCTTAGGTTGATCAATAGTTGAAGATTATTCAGAAGCTTCTTATGTAATTTCTAATTCAACAATACCAGCACTTTTTTAATACATTTTCTTATCGTAATAAGAAAAAGCATCATCAAGAACAAATTAAATTATTCTCTTTTTCTAAGAGAATATCTTCGTTTCTGGAATCAATTTTTTTAACGGATTTTTTTCAGAAAATTCAAAATATTGTTAATTTTTGATGAAAAATTTAATATCTTTTAATACGGCCTGCTTTGATAAATTCTCATAGCTATGAAAACGAATATTGATTAATTCATGAATAAGATGTGTTATTGCATTTTTGAATTAATCATATATGTGTTCTTTAGCTTTTTTGAATGAAGTTATCGTTTATCTAGCAATACCGTATTTCTTAGATAATTCATTAATATTATTATATAAATCTAATTCCATTAATATTTAAGCTTTTAACTCTTAGCTTATTTTATTATAAGAGCCTCTTATTGATTTCTTTTAAATACTTTTATTAGAAATACTCATTTTAATTTAATTATTTTGGGGATAATTTTTTAATTAATATATGATAACTTTTTTTCATAAATATATTTTATCAAATTTTTTTTTTGAATTCTATTAAATCTCATTAATAAAAATAATGAAAATTTTTATTTTATCAAAGAGTTTCTCAAACTTATCAATATGAATTTTAGAGCTAAGTTTACGTTCTTTTATCTCTCATATAACATATTTTTAAGTCTATTTAAACTCTAATTTGTCAAAGTCTATTTAATTGTTGGAATCATCTGATTCTAAAATGAATGCCTTTTACGTAAAAATCATCTTTCTAAATAAATCAATGATTAGGACATTTAAGATAATAAAAAAATACTTATCAATAAGCGTTTTAGAGTATAGAAACAGTTAATGCTGTTCATGTTTTGTATTTAAATTATTTTCTTTTATAATACATTTTATGTTATTCAAAAAAACTCGGGATATTATTTTTAGAAACGTTTATCGATATCAAGGATTTTACCCAATGAATATTTGTTTTTCGTCAAAGAAAATTGCAAATTTCAAGTTCTATAAAAACAAATTTTGATAATTCGAACATTTGTATGTATTGATGCTTGTTATAGTTAAATGTATTAAATTGAATCTAATTCAACAATGTCTTTATATAACTACATCAATGTTTTTATAAAACTATTCTATTTTAGTAATACTTCATCTTATCTTATATTTTGGGTTACTAAATCCATATATATTTTTTCCTGATATTTTGAAAACAAATCTTTAAATTTTGTGTGCCTCAATATTCTTTTAAACTTTAATTCATTTTTAATTAAACCATGAAAATTCTTAGTTTTATCAAATATATCATTATATATAGCTCTATGCTAGTATAAAAGGAGAAATACAAATGAGTTTTAGTGAATGTTTTTTCTGCAATTTTTCCAATTTCTCAATATTGATATTTTTAAAGGCAGATTTTAAAGTTTCTTAGGATTTGTATTTCATTTAATCGTATAGAAACAAAAAACAAATTTTTAATTTCTGATTTAAATTATGCTTCAAAAGCTTAATTTGAGAGTACGTCTTATATATGAATCTTAAAAATCACATCAGCAATTTATTTTATTGAATTAACTTATTCTTCCATTAATAATTATTAGTTGATTTTAATTTGTTTAACAAGAACTTCATTATAATTTTAAATATGAATTACAAATAAAATTTATAATTTTTAACAATTACTATAATTTTAAACATACTTATATAAATTAAATAATAAAAGTAAAATGGACATTCAAAACAAAGTTTTCATTCTTGGGGATAGAAAAGATTTAACTGATCGATGATAGGGTTTAATCTCAGTTTTTGTTTCTTGTTTTGATTCTTTAGTTAAATATGATCTCACAGTTTTGCCTCTGTTTTCATAATCTTTCAGTTAAGCAATAAATCCTAAATATGTGAAAAACACATACCATCATTTGGTTCAATTATTGGTCTAGATTTCTATAAAAATTTAATTGCAGTTAAGGTAGTGTAATTGTGATATTTAATTAAATAAGCAATCACCAGAGATGCAGATCTGGATATCCCAGCATAACAATGAACTAAAACATTACCATATTTCAGATGATTATGAATAAAATCAGCTCCTTCATCAAAGTAGCGACTTAGTTTGAACTCAACATCATCAGTTGCTGGAATCTATTTATGAAAATGATTAGTATTTGAGGAAATCGGTGTTTCAATTACAGAAAGAACTGCCCTCATATTGATTGTGGGACTTCTGATGTTCCCAATATAAAGCTTGTTCTAATTATAAGTAAAGACATGACTCATGTTAGTATTTGAGAATAACGACATTATTAACAAACAATTTATTGTTATTTAAAAAAAATAATATTAATCTCAAAATAAGCCATGTAAAAATTATCATTGATATGATAAAAATTAAAATCATATTCCAGATTTTCCCATTAGGAAACTCATATACCAAATCAATATTTAATACATAATTGTATTGATGAAAGAATTATATAATATAAATTAATATTAATAATAAATCATATTGCATAAAATTGCTTAAATTTCAAGTGATAAGTTTAATGATATTATTAATTCTTCTCAAGTACAAAATTTAAGTATTTATGTCTTAAATTTAGATATATCCTTACTAACAAAAATAAAATCAACTTTTCTGATTTTTAAAAGGAATATAATGAATGAATTTATTTCAATAAAGATTAATTGATAAATTACTTAAAAATGCCTTTTCTGTTGATGACTTTGATAAAAGTTGTACAATAAATTATTAAAAATATATCGAACATATTTTAATTATTGGGTATCCTTGTAAGATTTTAAAGGATTTTGAAAAAAAATCATGAATTAAATTAATTCTAATAATAAGCATAGGTTTTCATTTTTTTAAATCTAGAAAATTTTTTTAATTTTAATAAAATTCATTAATTAAACTTCTAAGATTTTGCTATTTTTATTTGATCAAATTTAATAACTGATTTTTATCCTATCCCTATTTCAACATTTTATTTTCTTAATTTAATCTATTAATTTATTCTTATAGCGTCTTTTGAAATTAGATTTATATTTCTAAATTCTTCTTTTAATATTGCTATAATTTTTTTAACTCTTCGTTTTCATATTTTAATTAATAGTATAAATCATCATCAGTTTGGGTTTCTTTATGATTTGTTTTTATACTATGTAGCAATTATATATCTTTTTTAATAGAAAAAGAGAAAGTATTATTTTATGCATTATTATGTAACTACTAAGGGTTATTTGGATAATTTACATCTTATTAAGTTTATTGGGTAACAATTGGACTCATTCCGTTTTCGGAAATATAGCCATGTTCAGCTTGCCCTTCTTGTTCTTCATCATTTTTATATCCCCTTGTAATATTTCCAATCATAATAATATGATTGACACCAGAACTTATAGAATTAAATTCAATTTCTTATTCTTTTTATTATAAGGTTTTCAAGTTTATTATTATAGCTTTATTATCTTCATCTAAAATAATAGCGAACTCTTTGCTAAATGAACTATCTATCTTATTTTTTTCTACATTAATTTGAATCAATTTTTTATCCTAATAGTAATACAATTTATTATCTTCAGTCAACAATGATAGATAGTAACCACTAAATATATTTGATACATTTTCAATTAGTTTAATTTCTGGATGCATGTATAAATTATTATTAGTGTCTATATAGAACAAGTTGTATGCAGAACAAGCAAAATCCGATATTTATGAATGAATTTACAACATTTATAAGACTTTATTTTAATACAAATAAAGGGAGTCGTCTTAGAAGATTGTAAAATTCAAACCGCATTTAATATTATGTGCTTACTTTATAAATTAAGGTTTCACAATGTTATCTCCCCATTAATATGCCTAATGTTCATCTCTATATTAACAATGATTTATACCAGTCACTAAGCAAGAATGATATTCTCCTGCTGCTATTTTAATGCAGTTCAAATTTTTAATTCCCTAAACTTGAATTGGAGAACATGCGACAGATATATTTTCTACACCTAGTTATCCTTTCAAATTTGAACCAAAAGCATAAATCGATCCTTCATCTAAATATGATTGATATGAAAAAAACTTGTCACTATTAAAGTGTGTTCTAAACCACATGCAATTTCTCTTATTACTATTGGCAAATTAATTTTGGTTAATTTAGAAATATAATCCTAGTTATCTATACCACATTAAGACTCTTTGTTATCGCCCATAACATATAAATCGGTTGTAAAATATTCGAAGCTTTATTCTGTTGTCATTTTTATTAAATTTATTAATATAATTAAAAAAATTTCAGCAGGAAGGCAGTATATTGGTTACATGTAAAATTCAAATAACTTTATACTTTTTTATCATCAGTTGATATATATTAATTATACTTTTAATATTAAGTAATTTAATATTAGTCACAAAATTGTATAAAAATTATGGGTTGTCAGTTTTAATCCTTAATGCCAATTGAATAAAATTCATTGCTGTCCTATAATATAGTAAGCTAATAATTCTATTAATCTCCAAATACCTTTTGCAAAAATTCTTATTTTTCTTCTTTTAAATATAATAATATTATACATCTATTTTATAAATTAAATATAATACAATTCTAATTCATGCGATAAAATTTCCATAATCAATTCCGCTTCAGGACATGGGGTACTCCATTCCAAAAATTTTATAAATAATTTTTCTTAATTCTATTTATTTATGTGTTTATTTAATTCTGATTATTGTACTATTTAATGAATTAGATTTCTTATGAATATAATGGCTAATCCATAAAAACAATTATTTATGTTACTAATTTGATTCCAGAGTTCGTTTGATCTCAATGAAATTTAAATTTATCTTAACTCTATACATCGATAACAAAATATCTCTTTCAATTCTTATTATTCTTCTTTAGTAAATTCTTATTAATGATTGTATAAATCAAAAGGAATTCCTTTAATGTTTTCCATAAATGTTTCAAAATTTTAATCATCAGCATGCGTTAATATAATATCCAAATATTAATATCCAAAAACTGCATAAAAATTATTACTGTCCTTTCTAGTTTTCCTTTCTCCATTAACATACTCTAAAAGGTTAGATTCCTTAAGCTTGTTAGAAGATGGTTTTAGTTGCTCTATAGGACCGATAAAATAATCTTTAAGTTAATTTTAATTGTATTAAGAGTTCAAATCTTCATAGAGTAAGTTGATTTATTTTAATTTCAAACATTTGAGTTTACTTTTCAAAAGATCAAAATTATAATTATAATTTGCATATTCATCAATTTATTCATTTAAACATTCAACAATAACATTAATATTTTATTAAGATTCTTCTGAATGCTGTTTTGTTTATGAATACTTTCTTAAAGTCTCTGGTTTTGGGGAATTGTTATTGCTAACAAAAATTTATTCTTAAATGCTTTAATATATTATATCATTTATATCGCTTTTTAGTTATTAAGATAATAATTTATAGATTTTTTCAAATTCTTATTAAATTATTGCCTTAATCTGGTTTTCTAAATCCTTATCAGGTTATTGAAAATGTGTATTTTATTGTTTGTTCATGAAAAGGATTTATTTATCCAAAAAATTATCAGTTGATGATTTAGATTTTTAATGAACTCCATTCTATTTATCTTATCCTCTTTAAAAAATTGTTTTTTTTAAGTTTTCCATGTCAATAAATTATTTGTTAATCTGCTGTTACATTTAATTAATAATTATTCCTTATTAAATGATTTATTTTTAAAAATCATTACTTTAGTCAGGTTAGGTGGCCTATCTAATTATTCTTTGATTTCGTTTCAAATCATACCATTTTATTAAATTTTTAATTTCATTAACTGTTAGTTTGGTTTTACTAATAAAATTTTAATATTTGATTGAATTCTTTAAAGAGTTTACTGATTGTAAATAAATTGATGATGATTAATTTGATTCTTCTATTATGTGATTCATAATTGTTTATAATTAATTTTTATTAATAATAATATTTATTTAGTTATTTTCTTGCTCCCAAACCTTTTTGAAAGTATAATTTTCTCCAAAATAAGTAAATAAAGATTAAAGTTTCATATTCTATGTTATAGACTAAAAAAATAAATTTTTAATACAAATGAAAAATAAAATAAAAATAAATAAAATATGCAATTATCATGAATGGCCAAGAAGAAATAATTTATGTGTTTTTTTTTATGCACCACCACATTACTATAATTAATATTGACTAATGTTTGGGAATATACAAAATATGATCAGCTAAACAAATTCAAAGACTTATGGCAAAGAGAAAACTCATTAAATAATTAATTTTTTTAACTTGCAAATTAGATAGGTCTTGGATTTTAATCTCATATAAATTATTTTTCTTAGTAATTGCAAAACACTGTAGAAATTTTTACATAATTGTTCAATCCATTAATGCAGTTTATTTCTTTTAAAACATGTGAGATTTTAACTCAATAAAATTATTTGGAAGTATGCATTTATGCTCAATAAAATATAAAACAGCTTTGCAATTTAAATCAATAAACTTAAAAATTGATAGGATACTAAACAAATTACAAAAATTTCTTGCCCTATCTTTTTGTGGAATCTGTAAGGCAAAAAATTGAAGAAAAATTTAGTTTCAATTAGAGGTTTTCTATTTTAGTTTATAATCCTGCTGGATAAATTGAAATATGCATGATTAATCCAGCTAATTAGATTTCAAAACATTTTATTAATAAGAAATAACATAAATAAATTTAATTATCAAGACCTTATATCAACCCAACTAATAATAGTTAAATTATAATGAGCCTTTAGTAATAAATTACTTTTTAAGATTTTTCTATATGCAAAAATATTATTAAGTCCTTAAAGATTTCATTGAGATCAATTGAAACTTTATTTTTCGATATTAACTATTATTAGTCTATATTATTGGCTATTACAAACTTAGTGGAACTTTGCTTTATATTATCCAACTCATTCATTTAATATTAGTTCTTTTATTAATAGTACACATCAAAATAGAGATTTTTATGTCTATTTGCATTTTTTGAATGAACAATTAATCACAACTTTTACTTTAATAAATGATAAAATGTAAAGAGAAGAGAAAGTCATAATATTTATAAATATATCTTCAGCTATTTTAACAATATCATTAGTGTTTATATTCACATATTTGATTTTTGTAAAAATAAGTAGACCTTTAAATAAATGAGTGAATATTTCTTGGAACATGTCAAATAATCTCACTAAAAAGAAAATATCAAATGAAATTAAACATACTGAAGCTGTAAATTAGATTGCAGGTTTAATATAAAAATTTTTAAATTAAGTTGAATCAATAAAAAAAATTAAATTCAAAAAAATCAATAGTGAAAAAACAATGTTGTATAATACCCTTAAATTAATATGATCCAGAATTTATTAATAAAACCAAAAATAAAACAGATAATGAAATTGATGAATGAAATCCTTTCTCCTATAAAAAATAAATATTTAATATAAATAACAATTAACTCTATGATCAAATTTTGTTTAAATTTGAAAAAAAAATTTTCAAGCTCTATCCTACCTTATAATCCTATGGGATATACAAATATAGAAAAGTATCTTCAACATCATGACACGATATAAGATAGATTAAAATGTATGGAAATATAAGGAGATTAATTTATTTTTGCATTCAATAGTTTAATTTAGTCTATTTAGGATGATGATTTTAATGAATTTGTCAGAGAAGTTTGTGATATAAAGTTAGCAAATTCCTTTATTGAAGGACTCTAAAAAATAGAAAACGAAGACTTAAAAATTGAAAAAGTAGTAAATGATGAAATATAGGAAAATATTTACTTTACAGATATGAATATATTTGTCAATGTAAATCGTAATATTTCTTTATTTGATCATGTAAAAATACTTGAAAAGAATAGGAAATTTTATTAGAGAAATCAAAAAAATTTCCTAAAATGACTGCATTATTATAACACGAACATGAGACTAATATAAGTATGTCAATAGGAGCATTTATAAAATCTAAAGTAAGCTTAGTAATATCAGGCTAATAAGTATATATATAGAAAAATTGATAAGTATAAACCTGATAATTATCATCATGTTAGATTTATGGTACTTAAGGAAGAAAAATATGGATTTTTATAGAACTTGAAAGTTGCAATTTTCTTTGACGAAAAACACATGTACCTTGGGTAAAATCCTTCCTGGAAAATCCTTGATATTGATAAACGTTTCTAAAAATAATATCCCGAGTTTTTTTGAATAACATAAAATGTATTATAAAAGAAAATAATTTAAATACAAAACATGAACAGCATTAACTGTTTCTATACTCTAAAACGCTTATTGATAAGTATTTTTTTATTATCTTAAATGTCCTAATCATTGATTTATTTAGAAAGATGATTTTTACGTAAAAGGCATTCATTTTAGAATCAGATGATTCCAACAATTAAATAGACTTTGACAAATTAGAGTTTAAATAGACTTAAAAATATGTTATATGAGAGATAAAAGAACGTAAACTTAGCTCTAAAATTCATATTGATAAGTTTGAGAAACTCTTTGATAAAATAAAAATTTTCATTATTTTTATTAATGAGATTTAATAGAATTCAAAAAAAAAATTTGATAAAATATATTTATGAAAAAAAGTTATCATATATTAATTAAAAAATTATCCCCAAAATAATTAAATTAAAATGAGTATTTCTAATAAAAGTATTTAAAAGAAATCAATAAGAGGCTCTTATAATAAAATAAGCTAAGAGTTAAAAGCTTAAATATTAATGGAATTAGATTTATATAATAATATTAATGAATTATCTAAGAAATACGGTATTGCTAGATAAACGATAACTTCATTCAAAAAAGCTAAAGAACACATATATGATTAATTCAAAAATGCAATAACACATCTTATTCATGAATTAATCAATATTCGTTTTCATAGCTATGAGAATTTATCAAAGCAGGCCGTATTAAAAGATATTAAATTTTTCATCAAAAATTAACAATATTTTGAATTTTCTGAAAAAAATCCGTTAAAAAAATTGATTCCAGAAACGAAGATATTCTCTTAGAAAAAGAGAATAATTTAATTTGTTCTTGATGATGCTTTTTCTTATTACGATAAGAAAATGTATTAAAAAAGTGCTGGTATTGTTGAATTAGAAATTACATAAGAAGCTTCTGAATAATCTTCAACTATTGATCAACCTAAGATATAGGAAGATATTTATATTGATGAATAATCTTCAAAACTCGAAAATTTATTGCCAACTTGGCTTTTAAATTATGATGATGATTCCTTCATTTTTCAGAGGAATGATACATTCTTAGATTCAAATTTTGTCTTGATGTGATTTATTTATATTTTATATTCCAGTGACTATTTATAAATTTTATTACTTTTTTNGATAAACGTTTCTAAAAATAATATCCCGAGTTTTTTTGAATAACATAAAATGTATTATAAAAGAAAATAATTTAAATACAAAACATGAACAGCATTAACTGTTTCTATACTCTAAAACGCTTATTGATAAGTATTTTTTTATTATCTTAAATGTCCTAATCATTGATTTATTTAGAAAGATGATTTTTACGTAAAAGGCATTCATTTTAGAATCAGATGATTCCAACAATTAAATAGACTTTGACAAATTAGAGTTTAAATAGACTTAAAAATATGTTATATGAGAGATAAAAGAACGTAAACTTAGCTCTAAAATTCATATTGATAAGTTTGAGAAACTCTTTGATAAAATAAAAATTTTCATTATTTTTATTAATGAGATTTAATAGAATTCAAAAAAAAAATTTGATAAAATATATTTATGAAAAAAAGTTATCATATATTAATTAAAAAATTATCCCCAAAATAATTAAATTAAAATGAGTATTTCTAATAAAAGTATTTAAAAGAAATCAATAAGAGGCTCTTATAATAAAATAAGCTAAGAGTTAAAAGCTTAAATATTAATGGAATTAGATTTATATAATAATATTAATGAATTATCTAAGAAATACGGTATTGCTAGATAAACGATAACTTCATTCAAAAAAGCTAAAGAACACATATATGATTAATTCAAAAATGCAATAACACATCTTATTCATGAATTAATCAATATTCGTTTTCATAGCTATGAGAATTTATCAAAGCAGGCCGTATTAAAAGATATTAAATTTTTCATCAAAAATTAACAATATTTTGAATTTTCTGAAAAAAATCCGTTAAAAAAATTGATTCCAGAAACGAAGATATTCTCTTAGAAAAAGAGAATAATTTAATTTGTTCTTGATGATGCTTTTTCTTATTACGATAAGAAAATGTATTAAAAAAGTGCTGGTATTGTTGAATTAGAAATTACATAAGAAGCTTCTGAATAATCTTCAACTATTGATCAACCTAAGATATAGGAAGATATTTATATTGATGAATAATCTTCAAAACTCGAAAATTTATTGCCAACTTGGCTTTTAAATTATGATGATGATTCCTTCATTTTTCAGAGGAATGATACATTCTTAGATTCAAATTTTGTCTTGATGTGATTTATTTATATTTTATATTCCAGTGACTATTTATAAATTTTATTACTTTTTTTTTCTCACAATCGAAAAATATAAATATCAAAATTCTGATGTAGTTTTCAATAGATTGAAATCAAAAGCATCTATAAGTTTC